TGCAGTGCATTAATAAACATTCTTTGTAATTCATTTGCATAATTTCTTATTCCAAGATTTAGACTTGCAAGAATTAAATTATTTAAACAAAAATTATGATAGTCTTTGTGTTTGTACCCTATTTATAAATTGCATTTAGAAGGATTCTCTGCTTGATTATAGCATGGATAAGTACTAATGCACTAATACTAAAGCACTATTGGATCAACTGTGGGATTCTCACGTTGTAATGCTGATATTGGACTATTGTCATGGAAGAAAACTGGAGGTAAGCACCTTTAGCCACGTGTGCAGCAGCTCTTGGGGGGGTGAGATTTATGGGGTGCCATGTGGTTTACCATGTTAGAAGTATGTGATTGGAAGACTGGCCCAGATTTCATCATGTAAGGTTGAAGCCGGCTTGGGTGGTATTACCTTAATACGGTACACCACGGTATTTTGAGTATACCATGATATTTTTGAAATCTTGACAAAATTAGCCGTGAGGAGGGTCATCTCCCACAATAACAAACGCCGTTTGGTGAAATTGAACATCTCATGTGTCTTTAAAACATATATATATATATACACACTGCATCAGTTCAAATATGCTGCCAAAAAGCTATATTTTGTCCAAAAAAAAAAAAAAAACACCAACTGGAACAGCCAGCAGCTACAACCGAGATCAAGATTAATCATCACACCATGCTAGAAAATTATTCATTGTATTCTATTAAAACCTACTCAAAATGGTTAAATAATTGAATGACACAGCCTTTTAGTTTTGGATTATTCAATAATCAGAAAAATAACGATAAAAAAAGATATAGCTCTGCTGTTGGCTGGTGGGGAAGGTGAACCTGCTGGGCTTGAACACCCCGCTCTGTAACTAGGTCCTGGACTTCCTGACTGACAGACCTCAGTCTGATTCCGTAGGAAACCTCCAGGGTCCTCAGACTGAGCACAGGCGTCCCCCGAGGCTGTCACTGTTCTTCAGTGGCTCATCAGCAACAACAATAACTCCGCATTCAGAGCAGAGGGCAAACAGCATGTGGAATGGTGTCAGAACAACCTGTCTCTAAACGTCGAGAATACAGAAGAGATGGTTGTTGACTTCGGGGAAAAACCTGGCTGCTCACTGTCTGTTGAACATTAATGGCTGCAGGACCTCCCAGACTCACACTTGACTGGCTTTAAATAAGGGAGAGCCTCCCAGACTCACATCTGATTGGCTTTAATAAGGCAGAGCATCCCAGACTCACATCTGATTGGCTTTAACCCTAGAGGTTTGCATACTTTTTCCAAAAACAAATTAGTAGCATTGGATGATTTTCCTCAAATAAAGAAAGAAGTATAGTTTTGTTTTATTTGTTTAATTTGGCTGTCTTTATCTAATGTTAAGTTAATGTTCATAAACATCTGTTTATGTTTTAGGTAGCATTTATGCAGAAACAGAGAAAAGTCTAATGGCTGTATTGTAGGTGCAGCTTGGAACTTAGTATTTCAATATGAATTACACATTAACAAGTTAACGCACATGGCATATACAGTCAGCGGTTTACATAAACCCATCAGGGGCATGAATGTCATATTAATTTGGGGTTTTTAATGATTTATTTGCACCGATCATTTTCCAGGGTGGAATGATTATACAACGTACAGCTTCAATGATCTTTAAAGACAAGAACTGGGTGCACAAGTCTGAACACATTTTGGATTTTCTGCAATCCACACAAGGTCGAAACTAAACGTACAGGCTCAAATTTATACATACACCCCCTCTAATATTTGGTTAAATGGCACTTAGCAAGTTGCACCTCGACCAGACACTTTTTGTAGCCATCAACAAGCTTCTGGCATAATTCTGGATGGATATTTAACCACTCTTCTTGGTAGAAATGGTGGAGTTTACATTTAAATTGGTTGGTTTCCTATCACAGACCCGGCTTTTAAGCATAGTCCACAAATTTTCTATAGGGTTGAGGTCAGGGCTTTGGGAAGGCCATGCCAGACGCTTAATATTAGCCTACTTTATCCATTCCCAAAACCAGTTTTGATGTGTGTTTGGGATCATTGCCCTTTTGGAACACCCAACTGTGTCCAAGTTTCAACCGTCGAGCTGTTGATTTGAGGTCATTTGAAGTTGGAGGTAGTTCCCCATTTTCATGATTCCATCCCCTTTGTGTAATGCACCAGTACCACTGGCAGTGAAACAGCCCCAGAACATCATGCAACCAGCACCATGCTTGACAGTTGGTACAGTGTTCTTCTTGGTACTGTACAGTGTTCTTCAGTTTGAAAGTCTCACCTTCACTCCTCCAAACATACCTCTTGTCCTTGTGGCCAAATAGCTCAATCTTTGTCTCATCTAACCATAAAACATTTCTCCAGAACACATTTGGCTTGTCCATGTGGGCAGCTGCAAATTTCAGACGAGTTTGAAGGTGTTGATTTTGGAGCAGGGGCCTCTTTCTTGGTCAGCGCCCTCTCATGTTCCAGCAGTTTCCAGTTCATGGCAGGCTTGAGCCTTGGTGGTTTCTGGGTTGTTCTTGAACATCCTAAACAACGTCCTTTCATCTGATGGAGACAGTTTGGGTTTTCTTCCAGACCTTGGCAAAGTGGTGACATATTCGAATAACTTACGTACAATTGCTTGAACTGATGATCTTAGAATCTGCAGTTGTTTAGAAATGGCTCCAAAAGACTTTCCCAACTTGTGCAAATCTGCAGTTCTCCTTTTTAGATCTCCACTGAGTTCCTTGGACTTTCCCATTGTTCTGAGTATTGGTCAATCCAATGAGTGCCCTCAAACAAATCCTTTTTATGCTGGCAAAGAGAAACCACCAGCTGCAGTCAATCATGATCACTAACGAGAAGTTAACAGTCCTTGGCCTTGTCAAGTTCAGACATTCTACAACCTTCAGCACCACTTATTAAAAGATTTAGGTGAATGTATGTATATATTTGAGCCTGTATGTATAATTTTTACCCGGTGTAGATTGTAGAAAATCAAAAATAAATTCAAACCCAGTTCTTGTTTTTAAAAACCAATTGATATATGTTGTATAATCATTCCACAGTATTGTATCTTATTATGACCAGTACAAAGATGCAAGTTGACTACATGCTTCTCCTTTAAGGTGATTATTGCCCAGACATTATAAGGATCCCCATTCAGTCAGTTGGAAAAGAACAGTTCCAATAAATCATTAAAAGCCCAGAATTAATGACATTCATGTATGTAAACTTCAGACCACAACTGTGCATGGGGTTACCAGGGCTGCAGCCCAGGGGCCTCCACAAAAAGGGCCCCTCCAAGTCATCAACTTCATCCATCACCACCATCCCTTGCACTAGAAGGCCCCACTGTATTTCCACAGGAGGCTCAAGTCTTTTGTGATATCTGGCAGGCTGCTACTCAGTTTCTATGACTGAATTGTGGCAGTTCTCTCTTCTCTAGCCCGGAGAAACCCAGAGACAGAATAAGATCTTCAGATAAAGGTTTGGCCCCCTGAATGAGCTGATAGATGGAGAATGCTGATCAGGTTCTCGGTCATCATAAGCAGCCCTTCCTATTTGCTCCTTGATACTGTTTGGGCACAGAGGAATACCCTCGGGTACCGCTGCTCTAACGCTGTGCTTCTTGGTTATAAATTGCAGGCAGCCATCTATCAGTAGCTTTAGAAGGAAAAAAATCCCCAAAACCCTTATAATGGCTTACGTAAACATTTTGTATAACTTAGGTCTATAAACAAAATTGGTGCTCAATATATAACGCTGCATTCAGCAGATCGCTTTCATGTTGCGCGTATTAAACATGTTGTTCACCCTATGTAGAAATTATGTGATGTAGGCTGAGGATAATCTGTCATAATGAAGACAGTCATGTACAGGAGGATGCAGTGTGTCATTCATTTGTTTATTCCCTTTTATTGTAAGGGGCGCGAGGAATTCTTGTTATGTTTGTGCAGGCAAAAGAAAACAGTAATCAAGAACCGTTGAGTTTTGTCGGCGTTCTCGAGTGACCTCTACTGGTCAACAAAATGCACCTAACACACTCGTTGCGGATTTAATTGTGTACCGCATCACTGATATTGTCTAGCCTTCAATCAGCCATAATAGATTTGTGAATGGACTATTGCCGCACTCAATTAAACATGTTATAGAACTACAGAGACCACATATATACATATAAAACCGCGGTTTTTTAAAGATTTGGTAATAGACTCGATTTATTCCGTTCAATTATAACAACAAATGAAGAAAGGGACGTTTTATTTCCGTCCTTAGGTTACCCTGATTTGACTCTAGGAAAATAGAGCCCACATAACAGAAATGTCACCTTATACATTTAGGGCTGGAAGTCCCACGTACCCAGCTCTTTGTATGTGGAGTTTACACATGTGTTTGTATGGGTCTTCTCTTGTAGTCCAAACACATCTGACGAAAGGATACATCTAAAGATATGAGATTTTAATGGTAAATGTTTCACTTCGGTTACTTTTATACAGTCACGTCCCCGAGATTTTATTTTCAATTTTATATGGCTCATTACAAATTCCTTTGCAGTATGCATTCTTATTTGGAAAGATAATCGGGACACAAACTGGAAATATACAGTCACTCAAACCAGTGCAATGTTTAGGTGAAGATATATATTCCGAACTCCAGTTCAATTTTGAGCGGTATGGATTCTTATTTCTTATCTTATATACATATAATAAATTTTTAGGTTATAAAAACTTTTTGTAAAATTAGATCAGAAATTAAATTATACATAATACAAAGTTTATAAACTAATCTGTTGCCATAAATTTTTTTTTTGTTTGTTTTACAGGGAAACTACCATTTCTCCTAGGAATGTCATCTTTTTGGAGTTATGCGTGCCGTCACGTGACACTTCCGGTCCTCCGGAACACTCCGCACATCTTATGCGTTCCGTGTGAAAATCCCGTCACCAAGTACAAACCAAGTACAAATGAATGCATCCTGAAACACTGCCAGCAGATTAATGTAAGGAAACAACAGCTGAAAGCGTCCTAAATGCAGTCTTGTAATATACTCGCCGTACTGTGCAGCGTTAATCCCCCCTGAACCGACTGCTTTGGAATAAGGGGCGGGCTTTACGCGGAGGTCAAAGCGCTGCTCCGGCGCCTCCTTTCCGTCGCCGAAACCTCTTCACGGGCAGATATCCCGCTCTTTGAGAAATGGATGCTTTTAATCAGATGTTATCACAGTACCCTCATGCCTTGTATGGAGGAGCTGGAGCAACGGCATGCGCTACTGGAGTCTTAATATACCGAATTGTAACAAGGTAAGAAAAACGAAAGAGAACATGGAGCCGGGCCTAGCAAGGAGAGCATGAGTCCACTCGCTTTGCACTGGGCAGTCGCGGTGCTACTTAATCTAGCCCGCAGTTGTTGCTTCTGGTCGGTCACAAATGGCATATGGCTAGCAGATGGTTATTCGCTGTGTAGTTGAATAGAACGATTATGAAATATGAATCGCCGTCTTCTGAACGGTGTTTTTCGAGCAATTCTGACAGGAGTTTTTGCCTTGACCATACTCTGGTTATTCTCGGGCTGTGGTGTTTCTAAAGTATCAAAATCAGACTGATTATTTACCACTATTAATGGTCACACCATTAATATTGAAATATTTTTAAGACGTCTTTTTTAAATTCGAAGTATGAAAGCACGTGTGTCGTCTCGTCCAAGAATTGCTGTTAGATAAAAAATAACTGGTTAAAATTGATGTTTTGCTTTATGTAATTTCTTTATGTGATTATAATATAATTTTGTAATAACTTTCCTAATAATTTGCATTCCTTTCACCTGATTTCTCCGCGCCTTAATAATTTGTAAATAATAGTAGTATTTAAATTTAAATGGTAATCATAATTAAGGTTCCGTGAAAGGTGGAAATAAAAGTAAGACCTTAATGATATTTATTTTGACTTTCACATTAATGCAGATGATTAATTCCCCTGCATAACATGTTTGTGGGAAGCTGTTACATCATGACAATTATAATGGTTTTACACTCTGCCCCTATCGTCCACAATCAAAATGATAGTATGCATCAAATCGCCTGTTAACTTTTATGCATTTGCCATTTTTATTACTCTACAATTGGGTGTAAGGCAATACGCAGTATTGTATCTTATTATGAGTAGTACAAAAATGCAAGGTGATTATTGCCCCGACATTATAAGGATCCCCATTCAGTCAGTTGAATGAAAACATATAACCATTGGGGGCAACTGCAAGATAAAACATATATGTTGGAAATGTATCTTGTGATTGTATTCATTTCGTTAGAATTTCAATAGAGAGACAGGCTTTTTGGCATTAGTGTGAAATTAGCCAATTGAATCAGTCTAAGGTTTCATATTCTCCTTTGGTTTTTCAGTGGTGGAGAAATGAGAGCTTTTATTTTTCAGTATTTCTTTCTGTTGCTCATTTTTGATATATTTTTTTCAGTTCTTTTTTTTTGTTGTTGCTATTTTCATTATGGCGGAGCTGATCACTTATTTCACTGCAGGTTATAGACTGAATGTATACCTTGCATGTTACACATAAATATCCCTGAATCCTTTCTGAAGCCCAGAGGCTTTCCAGCTAATTCATTCACCAAAAGGTTAATTACATAAAGCTTCAGTCTCACTGGGTGTGCTGGTCACTAGACACATATTGGTGTAATATATACAATCCATCCACTCATTTTGCCTTTTTAAAAGTGAAAAAATCTAAATTGGTGAACAGTGTGTCTTTTTGATGGTTGTAATTTTTAGATGGTAGAAAAGGAAGAAAAATGAGGGAGAGAAACAAAATATTGAAGAACTTCTCAAATTTCAGGAATTTTCCAATGGGATCCATAAACTTTCTTATTGTCCATCCATCCATCCATCCTCTACCGGTTTTCTGGTTCGGGTTGCGGGGGCAGCAGTCTAAGCAGGGAAATCCAGACTTCCCTCTCCCCGGCCACTTCCTCCAGTTCCTCTGGGGGAATCCTGAGGCGTTCCCAGGCCAGCCGAGAGACATAGTCCCTTCAGTGTGTCCTGGGTCTTCCCCGGGGCCTCCTCCCAGTGGGACATGCCCGGAACACCTCACCAGGGAGGCGTCCAGGAGGCATCCTAAGCAGATGCCCGAGCCACCTCATCTGGCTCCTCTCAATGCGGAGGAGCAGCGGCTCTACTCCGAGTCCCTCCCGAATGACCGAGCTCCTCACCCTATCTCTAAGGGAGAGCCCAGTCACCCTACGGAGGAAACTCATTTCGGCCGCTTGCACTTGCAATCTCGTTCTTTCGGTCACTACCCACAGCTCATGACATATGTGAGGGTAAGAACGTAGATCAAAACTGTCTGCTCTCAAGTGTCCTCCTCGATGTGATGCTCAAAATCTCCAATCCAACCAATACAACCTGCGGTCCAAAAATATTGGACAAATAGCATTTTGTCTATATCTTATTTATAAGGCCTACAGCATGCTTTTAATTTATTACTACATCTGGTCAGCCAGTTCTTTCATTTTCTACAGAATAAAAAACAATGTAACCTTGTTCCACTAATAAGCGCAGGCAAATTTCACTGCATGCATTGCCGATATTAGACAGAAGTGTTTCTGGTATTAATATCTGTTGGAATTTTCCAAAGCATAAATTTGGAAGGTATTCCTTAATGCTTTTAATGTAATTGAGATACAAAGTTATTGTATCTGCTTGATTTTTGCTTCACTACTAATTTCCTCCATAATTTGGTGTCACTTCCAAGTTAGTGCTGATGGTCAACAAATCAGCAAAGTTAATCGCTGTAAGTCCCACCCAGTGGCGCTTGGTCAAGGGAAAATGCCTACTGTGGAATAAGGACTAAAGAAGTTCTGGAACTAACTCAGGGGAACTACAGTTTGGATGAATCCCTGCAGTAGGAACACAACAGAAGTTCTGAAAAAGGCAGAAATGGGGAAAGCGCCTGTCGGTCATGATTCTTTCAATTGTACAAGCCCTTCATACTCAATACATGCATCAGGCCCTTGCTTTCAAACGTAACATGCAAGGAGTGGTGGGAAGCATGTTTAAGCTCTTGCAGGGTTGAGAACAGCCATTGATTAGCAAGGTAATCCTACCCATTGCCAAACCATATTCCCATCCCTAGATGTGTGTCGTTTCTGAAATAGGTTGCATTTATTTTGGTCATTTAAATGATGGTGATATTTAAAAAAGGCTGAACCAGTTAAAGTGAATAATTGTGTTAATCTTGTTCCACAACATCCAGATTAAAAAAATAATTAAAAATGATTAAAAAAACAGCAATTTTTAGTATAAGAAAATGTGCCAATAACCTGATTGAAGGTAAATTAAGTATGTTGAGTATCCAGTTCCTGGGATTACTGAACTTGAGAAACAATGGCATATTAAACTGGGTTGCATTACATTACATCACTGTCTGTTAGGGCAAGCATGATCGGAAAGAAATGATTGGACTTGGAAAACTGAAAATGAGTGTGAAGTATACAAATAAGTTTCAAATGGAATAATGTATATGCCCATTGCTTAGTGTCTGGGGTTTGCATAACTTCATGCAGGTTTGTTGAATACTCTGGTTTCCTCCTAACCTGGTAAGGTAAATTGGTGTCACTAAATTGCCTGGCTGATGTGACTGTGTGCCCTGTAACTTGCATCATTTCCATCGTGCCCCTTATGCCCTGGGAATTCTGGGATAGGCGTACTCGTCACCCTGTATCTGATAAGTTATGGATCAACAGATGTATAAATAGCTCTGAATAGACTAGTTATCTGACTCCTGTTTTCCCTGTCTCAGAATGCAAGGTGAAAGTGAACCAGTTAAAAGTGGAATCTGGCCCCCAGTGTCTCCTGTAGTGAATTGGTCTCTAACCCACTAATTGTCACTCCCAAGTGTAAGAATAAACCTGGTGCAGAAAAGCTTTTGTTGGTAGTGGAAATGCTACTTGTACTTTAATTATAGAGAACCTGCTGCTGTTATTTACAAAATCCAGGATATTTTTTTATTGCTTAACACTTGGCACTGCTAGCCGGTAGCCACATGCATGCTTACAAAACTTGCATCTGATTTGGCAGGAAGAAGCCGACGCATGTTATTGTGAACTGTTGGTTCTGCAACCAAGACACAGTGGTTCCTTATGGAAACAGAAACTGCTGGGATTGTCCTAACTGTGAGCAGTACAACGGTTTCCAAGAGGTAAGCCTCACCTAACCCAGCCAAGGAAGATATACAAGGAATAGTGTGTTACTCCATTTTTATAAGTTAATGGTAATGTGTTATAATACTGTAAGTGTGTGTATTTATATATTATTTGAGTTGCTTGGTTAATGATTAGAGTTCTGGGTTTTTAATCCCCAGATTACAGGAGCAGCGCAATGTCTGCACATGTTGCAGGCTCTGCAGTTAGGCTAGTTGGTGTAGTGTGTGGAGTATGATTTTGTATACGTGTGTGTATGTTCCTTGCAACAGACTAACTACATGTGTGCCCATTGCTGGTATCTGCACCAGCCCTCCACCAGATTAAGGCTAAATAACTCACTAATACTAAGGAATACTACCCAGGATCATGTGATCCATCTCCCATGAATAGGGGGGAAAAAAACAAACCTAATGTGATTTGTCGATAATTTCCCGAACGCCTTTCTATGGTCACATATAGCTAGTTTTTTCCCGCAAGTAAATCTCATCTAAGTGCTGATTCATGTACCTCGTTTCATTTTTCCCTTCCAGAATGGTGACTACAACAAGCCCATCCCAGCACAGTACATGGAACACCTGAACCATGGCGTGTCCGCAGGTCTCACCCAGGCAGAGGCGGCTCGGCCGCTGCAGTGGGTCAACTGCCAGATGCTTCTGTGCAAAAAGTGTAACCACAACCAGACCTTGAAAATCAAGCAGCTGGCCTCTTTCCTGCCTCGTGATGAGGTCTGTACAACTGATTGGAGGATTTGTCTGTCTGTCTGAATGCTGTGTACTTTGCATGCGGCAGTATTTTTGGAGTTTGTTTGTTTGTTTATTCTCTAGGTAAAAACCCACGTTTTCGGTGACTTGCTGGAGTGAACAGCTTCTTGTGATACAGGTAGTCCCCATGTTAGGAACTTGTACTTGCAGACAGCTCGTACTTAACAGACTGCCTCAAAGCCTGTTATATAAAAAATTCGGGTTAAGTACAATGGTTTGTAATAACGACCGCACGCACTAATTTGTGATGCTTGTGAAAATATTGAGGCTTCAGCAGTTCATCGCCTTGAGGTACAGTACAGTACCTTATTTAGTCATTTTTATTATTACTGTATTGTACTGTATTGTTCTTGTGACTTGCCAACAAATCAATAAATTATATATATTTTTAACAGTTTAAGGCTTTGAAGCTGAGTGGGGCATATGCAAGACACTTATAGAATTTAGAAACAAGATCATTAACGCCGGTGTTTTAACGGAAATAAGACCATGGAGAACACTGTTTACCCTCATTGGCTGGCTGTCAGTTGTTTATTCATTAAATGATTTAATATAAACAGCTTGCTTATTACTGAAGGTCATTGTGTTAAACTTTGTTCTCATGATAAAACATCAATGATGGTTGAATAATAGGCAAAAGTATTCTGAATAAATCTAGTGCCTTTCTAGAATAAGTGAGCAGCACAACAAGATTTTAATTGTAAAAACGCAAAAATGTAGAGGAGAGTTTTGCTTATGCACCCAAGTGCTAGTGAAGAGAATGTTTTGTTTGTTTGTTTTTTTTTTGCATTTTGGGCACCGAGCCTGTAATGGAATGAGGGTGAGGACCAGCAACATGCATAGGAATGCTGCAGACCAGACTGGCTGCTGAATTAAATGTTCAGAAATTCTTTGGATGTCGTAAATTAATCTAACCCAATAAAATGTACATGGAAGTTCTTTCCAAATGAAAAGCGACATTTGCAGTGTTCCATTTCAGGCACATGAAGGCCGAGGCTGTGTTTCATGCTACTTGAGTTTGTGTTTCAGTTCACAGGGCTGCCCTGCTTGCACACTAAAGTGGTTTTTCCACATACAGTCTTTCTTCTGTGCAAGTAGAGCATGACATAAGAACTAAGATGGGAATGATTGAAATGTAGGCGCAGGGAACCCTGGGTGTTTCAAGATGAATGTTCTCCATTTTGCTCTGATTCCCTCCTTTTGAGAAGCTTCATTGTACAGAAGCCTTGTCTGGGTACTTTGTGATCAGTTCTTCACTTTTCAGAATCACGTGTTTGCTGTTCAAGCCCTTTGAGTTCTAATAGTTGTTGTTATCCATTTAACTGGGACGGTCAATGTCAGACTACTATGAAATAATCTTATTATTGGTGACTGTACGTGCCAGCAGACATTACTGGTATTTTAATGCATTGTCTTCCTTGGCTGGTCCAGGAGAAGTACGACGAGGAGATTGAGGTGTACCGGCACCACCTGGAACAGACTTACAAGCTGTGTCGGCCCTGTCAGACTGCTGTGGAGTACTACATCAAGCACCAGAACCGGCAGCTACGTGCACTGCTGTTCAGCCACCAGCTGCGGCGTGGGCGCGATGCTCAGCTGGGCTGCGTGCAGGTGAGTTTGCCCCGCGGGGCCGCCCCCTAAAGGATCTGCCCCCTAAAGGATCTGCCCCCTAAAGGATCTGCCCCCTAAAGGATCTGCCCCCTAAAGGATCCGCCCTCAGTCTTCGATCTTGCGTGCATTCGCATCTCATAGGGGATCAAGACAGGATGTGTAAGGGTTGCTGACTGTTGCGGACCGGCTTTCTGTTTTGTGGGAAACCAGATTTACTTTGGTATAGTTTACATTGTCAGTTTTACGAATTTCACGTTAAAAAACAACTGGAATTTCACTGTAAGAAATTAGCAGTATCGCAGGATGCCTAATAGAGGTGTACATGTATATCTGTGTAAATGGACTGTGAAACACGTGTAGTTGAATGATTGATAGATATTGGTTCTTTAGCATCTCAAGATATTCAGTGCTGTTTTTATGTGCTCCTGGTTCACTTGTTATAAACAGGGACTCCATCATGCATAAGCCGGAGAATGAATTTGGTCTCCTATCCTCCTGTGCAGGCCTCCCACTCAGTCTCGCCCCCAGCACTGGTGATCCTCCTTCGCTTCCTGGCCTTCCTTACCTGTGTGTTCCTGGTGCTGATTGCACTGTATGGGCGGCACCCATTTCTAGCCCCTGCAAGCCCCTTGCAGACACAGAGTGGGGGTGTGATCTCACCTGGATCCAGCCCTCTCCGCGAGAATGTGTCGGACCCCAGCGGTAGCGAGTCGGCGGGGGTGTGGCGTGAGCTGCTGGGCCTGGTGCCAGGTGATGCCCTGGAGAAGGCCCAGGTAGCCTGGGACTACGGCAATGACCATCAGATGGTGCTGGTCTTCCTGGGCCTGCTGACCTGTGTCAGTAGCATTTTCCTCGCTGGCCTCATCAGGTGACACATTTCTGCCTATAAGAATATAGATCCATAAGTAATATGTAGGATTTTACTATGCAGATAAAGGTACATGGGAACTTGATCTTGAAGCTAAAAGGGAAATAGATCAGAAAAAGGCCACTGATGTGATCCTCTTAGATTTCCAGAAGGCCTTTGTCGTTCCCCACAAATGGCTCCTGCTTAAGCTCAAAGCAACAAGGATTTCAGGAACTGTAGCAGCTTGGATTGAAAACTGCGTAACACATAGGAAGCAGCAGGTAGTTGAGGCACAATGTTTTTGGGGGGGGAGGCTGCATTCATAGTGGGGTACCGCAGAGTTCAGTTTTAGGACCACTATTATTCCTGATTTACATAAATGATGTTGACACCAATATATACAGCAGATTGGTTACATTTGCAGACCACAACAAGGTGGGTGGTGTAGCAGATACTGAACTAGCGGCACAAAGGCTATAGTGGGATCTTAATTTAATTAGTGACTGGGCTGATACCTGGCAGATGAAATTTAACATAGACAAATGTAAGGTAATCCATGCAGGGAGCAGGAATATGCAGATATTTTGTGGGATCCTCTGAAGTAAAGACAGCTGATTGTGAGAAAGACCTTTATGTGTATGATGCTACCATGTCTCACTCTCGCCAGTGTGGGGAAGCAATTAAAAAGGGCAGTAGGATGTTGGGTTACATCTCTAGGTGTGTGGAGTTTAAGTCAAGGGAGGTGATGCTACGATTATGCAATTCCTTGGTAAGACCCCACCTAGGATATTGTGTGCAGGTTTGGTCACCTTACATTAAAAAGGACATTAGAAAGGGCTCTATATAGGGATATAAAGATGATTCCCGGTCTTAAAGGAATGTCTTATGAGGAGAGGTTAGCTGAGTTGAATCTGTTCAGCCATGAGTAAAGGAGAATAAGGGGGGACATGATCCAGGTCTATAAGATTCTAACAGGTCTGGATGCTGTTCAACCGAATAGTTACTTCAATATTAGTTCAAATGCAGGAACTCGTAGCATATAATTTTGTACAAGAACGTTTTTACGTTTCGATATAATTACATGCGCTTTGTTTCCGCTGCTGAAGGCTGCGGCGTATTGACGCTATGGCCTCACTGCTGTGGTTCCTGGTCCTGAGCCTGTACCTGCTGGAGAGTTACCTGCTGCCAGACACCCCGGGTTGGCTTGACCCGGTCAAGCTGAGCTCCACGGCCCTCTGCTGCCTGGTGGGCTTCGCAGCCGCCGTGGCCACGCGCAAGCCTGCCAGCCCGAGGAGAGCCAGGGCTCGAAGGTCAGAATTCGAACAGTGACACTTAAACACCATGCAGAAGGGAAGGAGACTGTGTGGCCTAGGATTTTGTGTGTTTTTGTGCGTGTGGGTTTTTTTCTCCCAACGACGTGTCAGAGTGTTTCTCTGCTTCCCCAATCTCCCCCTTTGCTTGTATTAACACAATAATCCATGCATATATTTCTTTAATCGGCTATAAGTCATAATCATTAGTTTAAATGTTAGGAAGTGTTATATGGCACTACAATCACTGAATACATTTTTAACACTGGATTATGTATCTTTATGTTTTCGGTTTCCACATGTTCTAGCTGTATTAGCAGTAATCAGTAGTATGTTGAAGTGACATGCAATTAGTAAAGTAAAAAAACACACAGTAAATTATATCATAAGACTGGCAATGAACATTTTGTCTATAAACCACTTCAGTAACCAGCTGAAATGCTGCACAAGCCTAATTCTTTGTATTACCTGTTTAGTATTATTTTTAGACTTGGAGCACATTTCAATTTTTTAAATATCAGATACCTCTTGATTTGTTAGTTGTGAATTTTTAAAAACGCTGCCTTTCACTGTCATCTACAGATATAGTCCAGTCAAATTAGAAGAATGTATTGGAATGAAAAGTTTATACTTTGAAACGAGTTTGAAAGACCTGTTTAAATGGTCCACCAGTGCTATAGGTTGTTTGTTTCTGGCTGAAGTATTTCCAGTGATGATCTTTTGCTTTTAGTTCATTGTCTTTGTAGTATTGGTGGTGTAGAGTGTAATGACTCACTGCAGGTAGCTTGGAACATTTACTGAAGTCAGATTTCTTTTGTTGCATTATAGACATTACTGTTCCAAATTCTTTGCTTTTATATGTTCTCTTTAGCTCTTATCCATGGTCAGTCTGTCATGACGATTTTATATGGTCATGTATCCTTCAGTATTATGGATTCACTTGTCCATAATTAAGCAAGTAATTGTTCATTTTGTACTGAAAACTGAGTAGTATAATGAAATTGCAGACCCTGCATAGCTATTAGTCTGCTGTAACTCAATTTATCTACGATGCCTGTGACTGTATTTCAAAAGAAAGCTGAAAGAATGTTGTTTAATTACAGCTTATGGGTGTAATTACCATTCAGCCTGTTTGGGGCAGTTTTAGTGACCAGTGATAGCGTTTTGATGAGGAACAGTGTTTGGTTACTACACAAAGTGGCAGCTATAATGCATTTATGGTAAAATGTGTACAAGATTTACTCAAAGGTTCCTCAAATTTGACTGTGTTTAATGACACTACATGATCTAGAAACAAATCTGTTTTAGCCCTGCTGGTTTTTATTGTTTTACATACCTAGAGAGAGAGATATTTAGCAGTCTTTAGTAGCAAAAAGAAATAACCACTAATGCTTAACGCTAAATAACACTAATTGTTATACTTTTTAGCTGTGAATAATTGGATTGATTAACTCTGGATTGACACTACAGTAACAGACACATGATGGCACAAACACTTCCTTTATTTCAGTTTGGGGAAAGAAGGCTGTCTTGTGTGACGGACCCATTGTTATATACTGCATTCTGTTAGCACAGTAATGAACCCTGGTTGTTAGGCTCAGCATTCCTGAAAAAAACCCTCTGTGAAGTCATAACAGAAAAACTGTTAGCTTTTGGGGGAAAAATAACCAAGATGACACTACTTTATAGTTCTGTCACTGTATGGTGACCTAAATTGTTATAAAAATATAAGAATAAGTCATGATTTTATAAGTGTTTTGTAGGATTAGTTCTGTTTTTGTGTTGTGGCATGTCTGCATGTGAGTATTATAATTTGCACCTGCATGTGCCATTTAAACAGGTTCTGAAACATAGCTGTAGTCTTCTGGGAATTATGTGAATGAGAAAGCTATTGGTACTTTCCTGGCAAATTCTTAACCCTATGACATGACTGACATGCTGTCCTAATATTTTACAAGTTTTCTAAACACTCTGAACACTATTTTATTTCCGAACAAATTTTTAAGGAAGAAATGTGTTTCATCATTTAATCTGTCAGGTTACAATTGTGTTCTAGGAATGTGATCTTAGAGAGCCATGTATTAAAATATTGTAGCATTATGATAAATGTGAATTTACATAAACAGTTGACTGTATTGTATCCTCTTTGTTGTTTTGAATGAAGCTTTGTATTTTGCCAGCGAGGAACCTGACAGTCAACATTAGGTAGTGAGTGCAATTTCCATATAGTCCTTGGAGACAGATTCCTAAAATCTGAAAGTGTCTATAGTTCTGTTCTGTAGCTTAGTCATTTACCTGGTTTCCATTCGTTGGGATATTCTTACTGTAAAATTCAGCACCCAAAGTTAGAGGCGGCTAGGGAGCTCCACTTGCTACTGCCCTCCTATCCAGAAGAGGGCAGCACAGAGTTCTTGTACTGTGTCATTTTCAAAGCCCCTGTGAGCTTTGGCTTCGTCTCGACTCCAGCTGTATGCCACCTGCCTTTACATGACTTTGTGTACACTTACGCCATCTTGCTAATACAGCACAGTAATTGGTTCTTTGGGGTGTACCAACTGTACATGTAATACCAAAAACTGAACTGTTAAACTCTTCAGGTACGTAGGTGTGTTCTGCATGAATCTGGATTCGTTTGAGACAGATTAAGGAGAATCATAGATAATGTCACAGGCTAAAAGTTGTTATTCTTAAAGCTTTAAGGTATTCTCCAATGTGCCATTTACATGTATGATTTTACTGTCATTTCTTGTTTAACCATTGGAATATTTAACGTTTTTTGTATTTTTACGGTTTATTTAACTTAATTAAAACCCCAAGGTCCAGTACCCTCATGCTTGTGTATTCTTTTTTTTTTGTTAGGCTAAATGATCGTTCTCATTTTGGAATTTTAAAATTTACTGAAATTTTTTAAATGTATCTTTCAGAAAGATTTGGACTATTGTTGGAACAGTCTTTTTAGTAAATGTACGAATTACTGGCTAATTTGGGTACTGTCTTAAATTGTCCTCTTGGACTTTGTCATGTGATGTAATTCTGTAAACAATATATTGTTCCATAACTGTCATTTGAATCAGTTAAATAAACTGTGCAATATTCAAATGTGTGTATGTATGCTATTCTTAAATGGCAGTCAATCCTTGTTACATCACCAGTGCTTTCATCCTGAAGTCATAAGAAACTTTAGTAAAGTTAGACTTTACATGACCTTCAATTCTCATTACTTTGTGATTCAGTTCAGCTGTGTAGAAAGAATGTTGGCGCATCAGTTTTAATTCCAGTGGTACATAAGCACCAGTTTGCGTGTTGATACAAATCTACAGATTGAAGGATGAGTGCTTTTGAATCGATGCAAAGTTTTTCTTTTTGAAAGTGTACTGGCCACAATGAGGCTTATGCAGTTGCAACTTCATTCACATGCATTTGTAATGTTTTTCAAACAAAAACACAAAGGTGAGAATATCCTATAACTGCCCACACATTACTTTTTCTGGCCCACAGCTAAGTGAAGGTCCATAAGAATGTATTTGTTGGATGGTGTGTATAATATATATGTTTTATCTCAGCTTTTGTTAAAGTTTCAGTAAATTTGCTCTTTTATCTTGAGTATATTTTTACCTTCTTAGTTTGGTTTTATCATCCGCTTAAACTTGCTTTCCAAATTCCTGAAATGTTTGTATGTCAATCAGCCAACTTGAACAGCTGTAAATGAATATGTACTTTTGTGGAAAGTTACGAGGGGCGTATTACATTTTTATTAGTGATATTAACTCGTCACTCCTGGAAATTGGTGTATAAATGAACCAATGTGATATGTTGCAAAAACCAGCCTTGTGTTAGTGGTACGTATTTGTAGTGGTGACGTTTTCTTAGGCTCCTTGCAGCTGGCCCTGGGGGGCCGACTCTCCCCCTGTGTCCCTGAGTAACTTGTAACAGCACAGTGTCCTCGCAGGGCTTCAGTCCAGTAACCACTCTGCTCTTCTGTTCTAGGTATCTGTGTGGCGGCTCTTTGGGCTCCTGCTATGACGGGCATTTCCCAGTGATGGCGTCGGCCCTGTCGGGACCCTCTCCCCCCTTTGCACCTACACCGCCCCCCAATCTGTTGCACTTTCTCAGCCGCCAGCTGTGCCAGCAGCGGGGGCGCCGGGCCTCCCCCTCCTCTCTGCCGGGCCGCCTGAGTAGAGCCCTGTCCCTGGGCACTATACCCTCCCTTGCCTGCACGGGTGAGTCTCCATGCTGGCTCCACCATGCCACACAACCCGCTAAGCCAGCGGTTCTCAGCCCATGGGTCGTGACCCAAATTTGGGTCGTGGCAAAGTTCTGAAAGGGCAGAGTTGGAAGTGTAAGCATTTTAAAACCAGCGAGCTTCTGTGCTGAGCCATGGTCCCGATCAGCTGAGCCCCAATCTAGAATTAACCTATATAACAGGGTTTTAGTGAACGCTCAACCAATCCAAGAGCCCAAACCACAGATGCTTAATGTAAAATTCACTGGCACATCCAGATTTGTGCGATAGTCTTTGATTGGAGTGAATTGCAGAGCGCACTGCATGCTTGATCACCGCATTAATTTACCCAGACTGACGGTTAAATAAAAGTCCTCACAAAGCTTAGTCACCCGCTATCAGAACCTTAACATCCTCTGGAATGTTGTACTGAAGTGACAGAAGGACGGTTGGCACCTTGCTGCATGAACTCCTAGCATGTTCTGAGCCAAGATGCGGGTCTGGTACCAAGCTGGGCTAACGGGGACATGTCCTAACCTGAACGGTGCTGATCAGCGTCAGTGTTAACAGAACGTGTCGTGGTTGGCGTCTTCCGAAAGTTCGGATCCAGCACTACGAAAGTGATGTTTGTAGTTGTGCAAAAAAGAGAATTTGCATGAATAATATAAGGGCTTCTGGGCCATTTTTGCAAAAGAACCTGATCCTTTGCTCTAAAGGCATGTGTCACCTCTTCATCAAGGCTGCCGGCCATAAGCCAAGTTTCCTGAGGTGAGGTTGGGCTGCCTCTCATGTGGAACCATTGCTGAAATGCATTGTGGGAGCTGTGCATGGGCCAGTGGCTTTGCATCTATGGAGAAATGAACTGGCCTGTCAACACTGGCAGTGCCGCACCCAGCAGTGGAATTTAACCTGCTGAAGTGGTGGGACAGGACATAGGCTCCCTTACCGCTGTCAGGTCACTGTTCACTGGTGGCAGATTTTCCCAGTTCAGGATGATTATTCATGGTGAGAGAATCCATCCTGTATGTTGACTTTTGTTTCTGAATTCAGAAGACTTACAGCCCTGCTCTTTGTTTTGTAACTTCAGAATTCTATGTGCAAATACACTTAGTTTTGAGTGCTGTTAAAGAATTACGGACTAATTGTGAATTCAGGTTTAATTCAAACCTTAACTAGGTATGACTGGGCTTGCGGCACTTTCAATAAAGCTCAAATGTAGTCTTTAAAGGGGGTGGAAAGTAAGACATATATATATATATATGTCTTACTTTCCACCCCCTTTAAAGACTACATTTGAGCTTTATATATACACACACACACTCACTTTGTGTCTCTTTCCATGAAGTATGCTAAGTACATTAAGTTTAAAGAAAATGTCTTTTTCTAGAAATGTCAATTGTGTCCAGTCATAGGTCTTGCAAGATCATTTTAACATGGGAGGTGCTGGTTTGATTTGGCTTTGTTCAAGAAAAATACTTTAGGGTGGGGAAAAATATAAGTAGTCGTGATCCGCTTTTGGTTAGCTAGTGGGAGAAATTGGTCAGATAATTAGCAATAACTAAAAATTACTCTCCCGAGAGCTGTGCCTCGTTTGTTTGTCACTGATCACTGCTGCAGTGACCTGCTGCGGAAAAAGCTGGAAATGGGGACATTCACTTACCCAGGCTTCTTGTACACAATGATAAAATCATGAAAAAACGTAAATGTGTGATATTCAAATTAACATGTCTAGGTGTTAAAAATTTTCCGAAATATCTTCTGGCTATTTTGCAGTTCAGACCATTAAAATTAATTAATGCAGTTATGGGCTTGGCCCTTTCTTCGCCCAACAGTGTACACTGCTTATTATTTAACCAAAGTGTTAGTCATTTTCACATCTAATATCCTGCTGTGTGTCAGAGGCTGATCTTTGACAGTGGCAGGTGGAATACGGAAATTACTAATATTGTTTGACAAAATCGGCAAAAAGAATAGTCTTCAGTTTACAATTGTGCATTCCCTTTTTGCTGGATTCTTAGACACATCTAGCTGAAGATGTTGCGATTATTCTGCAGGCTTGATGCTGGCCTGTATTTCCTGCCCTTTATGGCACGTCGTCAGACCAGCTCAGCTGCCAGCTGCTCTGCACGTCTTTGCAGCCTAAGGCATGCTGGGATAGCAAAGCCACTTTGCAGCCTAAGGCATGCTGGGATAGCAAAGCCACTTTGCAGCCTAAGGCATGCTGGGATAGCAGAAGCCACTTTGCAGCCTAAGGCATGCTGGGATAGCAGAAGCCACTTTGCAGCCTATTGGAGGGGGGGGTGCCTTTGCCCAGAATGGAGGGGTGCTGTTATAGGATGTTCAAACCCTGGGATTAAGGAGTGGGATTTGTGAGGGGTGTGGGGTGTCTGGGAAGTGGTGTCTTGCTGCATAAATAACTGTTGTGCACCGACTGCAGCTTCACAAGTATTGCATGCACCTGTTTTATGGTTTATACCCCCCCGCTGTTCGTCTGGCCAGCTGGACAGGTGTTTGGGGATCACCAGTCTGCTTCTGTGACATTAAGAATGACTGAAACTCCCATAAACCTGGCTGTATTTGTTGCTGGCATATTAGTTTTCGTCACCTTTTAAATGTTTATCCTTGATTTTTATATTATTTTTGTAGAAGTAGTGATCTAGATGCTCTGACAAACAGCCTTACACACACCTGACCACTGCACATGTCGAGACTGTGGCATTAAGATGTTTTTCTTCATAAGGTGCTCATCTGCCCTCCCCCTCACCTTCATGTTTTGGAATAAATCTTGATCATGCTACTACAAACGGAAGTTAACCAGCTTCGTTTTAATGCTAGTAAAAACTACCTGGTAAAGTCAGAGGCATAGCGATGTGGTACATTGTTAGCTCATTGGGCTCAGTTTATTTGCTGGGATAAATATTTATATACCAGTGTGTGATGGGTTCTAGTTTTTTTAAGTTATAAAAAAGGCACATGACCTGCTTCATTTGCAGATGTGTATCACCTTGTGACCACATAAAAAAAATTAAACTACATCGCACTGTAAATTAAAACCATGAGCGTTTTCAGTGACCCAGGAAAGATCTACTTTTCTATTTCCACTCTATATTTTAGCCTTTTCAAATAGGTTACAGCAGAAAACGGACAGACTAAGTGTTGTCTTTTTTTTTTTTTTTTCTTTGTCTATTGCCATGCAATTCTAATGAAGTACACGTAGCACAATTTTACCATTTAGATATTTACACCAGAGCCAACAATTCTAGTACATTAACTGCTGTGCTACTGCGTACAGGAAGCTGATTGCTGGTTTTTAAGATCTGTGAAATGGACAAAATAATCTCTGTATTGTTTTCTTTCAGATTCAGGTCAGCTGTTCAGTGGCAGCCGTCAGCCTTCACTATGTAAAGATTCTCTGGCATCAGGTAACTGAAAACAACTGTTCTTGTATCAGTTGGAAGGTATTAGTATAAAAGAGAATTCTGAAGATTGGAAAAAACTTTAAACATTCTGAAATGGCTACTGTGTCATCTGTACAAAAATGTAGCCTGTAATCTTAGTAATTGTTGAAGTTCAGTGGTTTTTCACGGGCAGGTTTGGTTGTCTCCCCTGTCCAGACTACTTCTCATTAAAGTCCGGAAGCCGACCTTCATCCCCAGGACCTTCCCCGGCCCCTTCAGTCGCGGGGTCTGTGACATCCACGTCCAGCTCGGCCCGCCACCGTCGGCCCATCATCAGCCCGGCTAGGCTGCACCTGGGCGGAAAGAAGCTGCAGCTATTCTCCAGTCCCATGGAGCCCAGCTCGCCGTCTGCGTCTCGCTGCTCGCCGGAACCCGGCCTCTACCCCAGCTCCATATTTGGCCCAGAATCCTTGGCCTTCCCTTCCAGCAACCGTGGTATGCAGGAGTGACTACATGAGCCACTAGCGTCTGTTTGTGTTTCGTTAGGCTCTAGCTGACTTTCTCAGGAAATGTTTTTGAGGACAAGCCTTGATTTGGTTGGCATCATTTTTTCATTTGGGGGCCAACTTTTTTTTTTTTTGGAGCCCCCGTCATACTGTGTGTTTCTCTGTAATCCGCAGCCCAAATCACATCACATGCACATCTTTCATCTCAGATTTAGTGTCACATCTCGCATGATTTGAAATGGACTCGACCTCGTTCCCATTTCTTTAGCTGCGGAGTCTGTAGTCTATAGCACTTTCTAGTACTGTGTCGTTTGACTCATCATTCCCAGTTTCAGTGGTTATCTCAGTGGCTCTTGCTACATTCTCAGAAAGTGTTAATGTGTGAGCTAATCACGCAGCGGGTACAGAAATGGAAATGGAGTTTGAGTATCGGAAGCATGGCTTTATTGATCTGTGTAGAATTTTTCAGATTACATCCTTGTTTTTTTGTGACTAGTTCCACTGAGACAACGAACACACTCAGATTGCTTTAATGCACAGTGAAGGAACCACTTATCTTTCTGTATTACCACTATACTTAACGTGATTTAGCTCAGGTGGTCGTCCGCCAATAAGCTAAAACTAACCCCACCCTGCAGCTTTGGTGGTCAGATAATCTGAGCTCTAGGTGTGAACTTGGAAGGAGTTAAACATCAAAGACAAGTCTGTCTGCTGAGAGAAGTCTCTCTTGTGTATCCAGTAACACAGGGCTAAACAAGACACACAGACACCCACATCTGATGAGAGGGAGAGAGAGAGAGAGGGAGAGAGAGAGCTTTATTAATCCCTTAAAGGGAAATTATCATTACAGCAACATTAGCATATATAACACATACAGCACAAACTGGCATGTATATAAAACAAACAAAAATAACCAATGTACAATGAGTATCCTGATATGTAAATAATAGCTAGTATGTAATAGGGCTGGGTGATATGATATCGATATTATATCGCACATGCGCAATAATCACCAGGGCTTCAGGTGACAGATGAAGCATTTGGCCGGACGCCAGCTTTTCGGTGAAATATGGACATTAGTTTACACCCATAATTTGGTAAGAGGATTAGTAGTATGGCTTAAATATTAATGAGGTGTTTTGTGATACCAGAAAGTTAGTAATCTGTATAAACTTTATGTTTCTTAAATTCGACTAGCGGAGCACCCCGCATAATACTGGTTTGGTATACTACGGTTTGGTATACTACAGTTTGGTATACCTCAGTGCAATATGCATTGAAGTCGTGGTGAAGAAGAGCAGCCATGACATCTTTTAAAAGAGGAGATCTTGTGGATAAACAAGGTAAAATGACGTCGGCGGTGTGGTGGTACTTTTTGCAGTTCAAAGTCTGACACATTTATTAAACATAAGGATATGCCGTATTTATACTAATAATGACTTTTGGGCGTCATACAAAGCCTCATTAATATTTTAGCCATACTACTAAACTGCTTAAATTGTGGACGTAAATAAATGTCCGTATAGCCCCGAAAAGCTGGCGCATGACCAAATGCTTCACCTGTCACCTGAAGCCCCGGTGATTATTGCGCATGCGCGATACAATATCGATATGATATCGCCCAGCCCTAGTATGTAGGTAATGTGCAAGGTTACATTAATAATTGGCATCAGAACGAAGCTCCCCTTTCCTGACAATGACACGAGCTGTTGTACAGTGCAGTGGTGGTTGGTAGGGATGATTTCCTGAAGCAGCCCTTGTCAGAGTGGAGCTGGATGAGCCTGCGATGCTGAGGGTTCTCTGCTATTTAAGCAGCGGATTGTGCAGGGGATGTTTGACTTTTCTCTTTTCACTGTGGTCCTCACCAAACTTTGGGAACTTCAGCTCTCCTCGTTGTCCTTTATAAGCAAGCCCCCGCATGTATTTGTGTTTCAGGTCGTCTTGAACATTTTTTAAGATCCTTATCTCAGGCAACATTCAGTACTTTTTAAATGTTTTCTAGGTGAATGTCACAATGAAATATTACAACTTTTAAATATTTACCTCCACAAGTGAAAATGAGGAATGATGTTCTTTATAATTGGTTGAATAAGTGTGTTTTAATTTCAGAACACTTTGCAGGAGGGCACAGACTGCTGTGGTTGTTTTCTAACTGTGTAAATATCTGAAAGGGATCTGAGTTTCTGAAGGCTTTAGAAGTAAAATTATTGTAAAATTGTAAGTTAACATTTTCAGTAGTCATTTCTTTATTTGGGATGACCTTAGACATGTTGTTTTTCCATAGATATAGTGCTGTAACAAGTTTGGTTCAATGTGTCTGATTGTACCCCATGTTACCTATGGGGAGAGGTCAAAAAGTGGATTTAAGCCATTTTGCTTCTGGTGAGGAAGTAACAGTCTGTAACAGTCTGTAACAGTCTGTAACAGTCTGTAACAGTCTGTAACAGTCTGTAACAGTCTGTAACAGTCTGTTAGACCATGTGTGGGAGGTTGGATGAGTATAAACATGGGGGGTGGAGGGCAGAACAGGAGGATAATTGACAGTTCAGTTGTGGACAGAGTCTTCAAAACAACTAACATCTGAACGGATGATTAAATTCTGAAGTTGTGTCTGTATTTACGTCTGTATCTACCTGTATATGACAAGTCAATGTCTCTTCCAGACCTGGGTTCCCTTCTAGAAGATAGCAGCATGTATGAAGATGTAGAGGAAAAGAAGAAGAGTGGCTCCTCAAACTCTTCTACCTGCCTGGTGGACACTACGACCGGAAGGGGCGTGGAAAGCAGAAGCGCACTGAAGGGTGAGTGAGGGAGTAAAGCAGAAGCATTTGTTGAAGCGGCAAGTTAGGTTCAGTTCCCAGGGGCAGCCATGTTGTTTAACTGAAGAGTAAAGCAACAAGCCTGAATTACATAAGGTTGTACAAAAACATTGTCAATTATAAGATCAAATTGCCTGCCTAGCAACTTAAACTGCTAATGCTAATTAAAGTTATTGTAACATGTGAAACCACACGTTTAATTTCCTGGAAAAAAAAATAATTATAGGAGTTAATTTTATGTTCTCGAAGTTTGTGTCAAAAGGATGCATGTTTCAGCGCCAAATTTCACTAGATTTACTGTGAACGTTCTTAGGTTCTTTGACTAAATGGCTAAATAATCCTGTGTGTACATATAAAATATGTAATACAGATGTAATATATAATACATATGCGCTCCATGAAATTAATTGCCTAAAATGGAAAATGATCGGAAATGCTTTACAGTAACTGCACTTTCATAATGCATTTTTAATGCATTCCCAGAACTTTCATAAGCAGCATGTAATTATACGTTAACATCCTAACATTTCTTAATGGCTTTATTATACATTAATAACAAACATTATATAATTATGCGGTTATAATGTTTGTTATATTATGTTATTCATGTATAATAAAGCTGTTAATGTAAAGCATTACCAGTTGGTCTTATGGTACACTGCAGTCACATGCAGTTTTGCATTCTTTACAGTGCGCTTTATGTGTGTATTTTTTCCCAATTTTTTTCAATAAATTTAGAATTTGTGACTTTCAAAGCTCCTTAACAAACTGTTCACAAATCACTATATCAATGTGTTTTACCCTGACCCTTGCAATTGCAAACCAAGTAAGATATTCTATCATTGCAAATGAATTAGACATTCGTGCCATCCATGTAATACTTGGGAAGAGTGTTGCCTTTGAAGAATGCTTGAATTTAATTTTATCTTTGTGGTATTTTGAATCGGAATTGATGTACCAAATAGGCTCATGACTGCAGATTTATGGTTAAGGCTGAAACTGCTTGTGTATGACATTAATGTCCTGTGGATATTCATTGTTGAAGCTGTGTCCTCTCTGTTCCAGGCATTCTGCGCTGCTCTCTCTGGCTGAGTCTCCTGGGTGCTAGCTTGACAGCCAACCTGGTATTTGCCTCCCTGTACTGCTACCACACCTGGAGATGAGCACAGATGCCCCAACCCCTCCTCACTGACCCCTGATCTTCACCATGGCACTAAGCTTCAAAGTGTCTCTTATAACGTGTAAGCTGGGACCTCCAACCCCCCCCACCACAGATTTACATTTTCATTTTTCAGTTTAGCAAGATCTATAGAAGCTCCTGGATTACAGCAATTCAGAGCATTTGGAGAACACGCTCTGTTGGAAAATACTCAGAAGGTGTAAAATACTTCACGCTCAAGTGTGACGGTGCATTTTTGTCTAGTGCATTACTTCTTATTTCTTATTTTTATTACTTTTTTAATTACTTGGCACACTTTATGTTGCAAGTTTTATGGAACTGTCTGTGGAAGTAAAGGTTGTCCTTGCTTGACAAGACGGCCTGAGCTCCGCCGGAGTTCTCGGCGTGCGCCGCCTTCGTCGTGCTTCTACACGTGTCCTCATCATTTCAGAATGTAAACCAAGCTTTCGTGCTTGAGTCGTTTTTGTATTTGGCAGCAATTGTTCCATTAGCAGGAGCAATTGGATAAGAAGAAATACTTGAATATCGGCTGTGCTGGCAGTGCAGCCCCTGTAATGTGGGCGTTTCGCATGGGCCGCCCCCCCAAGCTGCTGGGTCACACTGGCATCCCGTCTGTGGGGGCTGTTGGTCTGTCAGGCTGCTGTCGTGCGGGGAGACTGGTTTGTTAATGCCAAACACGGTGTGTCCCAGACTACAGGGCCGTCTCCCCTGCTCTGTGTTTTGTTTTAAATCTATGCTAAAGGTCCCTGTTTTCCTTGGATCATCCATGTGGAGAATTTTGGCAAGGAAAATGTACAACACTGTTAATCTGGTCTGGGAAAAGATGACATTTCTACTTTTTGTTGTATTTGAAATGTAACTGCTGTGTCAGCTTACATAATTTGTCGTGAAACATGACTCCTGGGTTTATGTGTTTACATGTTCTGTGAATAAGCATTTCTCCAACCTTAACCACAACTTTTTATTTATCTTTTTTAACACAATCCTGAAGTGAAACCTGTCACTTTTGTGTGTTATGTTACTTTACTCAGATCAGTTCAGACACTATTTTGGCACGAGGACTCTTGAGTTTAAAGGCAAATTGAAACCTAGTTTGAAAGCTGTAAATCAGTGTTATTGGATCAGAGGTTGCATTTACAGTGACTATATGATTGAGGTTCTCTACGTTTCATGAATTTCAGATGCCATGATTCAGATTACTGTAGCCCCTTGAGATTTTTACGTGGTAAGAATAAACCATGTTTTACACATTTATACAGTATTCATTTATTGTTCTACTGAAATCATCCAGGTGTGTAATACTTTCACATCTCCCTGGTTTGATTTATTGTTGTAGATTATATAGACCTGCTTTAGTGACAGGCTCATGAAAACACCTTTCAAATATGCTGTTAGCTGTAAGGGAAATTATTGCATTTTTTTTTGCCCAAAAACGGTAGAAAAAGAGCATTTGAACTGATGCTGAAACAGTGGCAAAACGGGGCTTTTCTTCCTGGTGCTAATTTAATGGGTGAAAGTTTACATCATGTTCATAATGCGTATAAATGATTGTGTTTCAATGCACTTTCCCTTATCTGTACTAGAGTAATGCAATTTGAGATCAACTAATCCCGAGAATTTCCTTATGCAATATTTTTGGAAGAACAGGTCAAATACAAAACCTTTTGAAAAAGTTTGTGATAGTTTGTGTGACAATATAATTATTTGTCTATAATAATCAAGTTGGATACTTGGATGATAATTTTCTGATTTTAACTTTCCTGTTGCCTTCAGAATTTTTGAGTCTCTTGTTTTTTCTCCAAATAAAGGTTAAAGCATGACATTTATCACCATAATATAGGTTTTGTTGAAGATAATGATAGAATGATGATGGTATTACAAGACCAAATCATGTGTGTGTCCCATTTTGTAAGGAAGGCTTTCTCATTTTTATTCGTGTCGCTGATGGACTTGATATAGTGCGTTCACTTTTTCTGTGACACAAACATCACCAAAATTGATGATATACAAGCGTATAGCAACAACACATTATCTTCTGAAAAACAGATTTAAATTCATCTGTGAAAGAATAAAGTTTAGGTTCTTTTTCACTGTTTAAAAACCTGTGGTGAATTAAGACACCAAGATATAAAATCTATGTTGTATTGCAACAGCGTACCCTAACAACATGCCCTGTGTCTCTTGTGTAGACATATTTACAGGTTCTGTAAGTGTTTAAATTATTACAAAAAAATCTTACCCAAAAATACGAAAATAATTTAACACATTTACACAGAAAGTGTCCTGTCCATTAATTTAAAGAAAAAATTACCCTTCCCCTCTCCATGAGAGGTCCTGCATTATTTAAGAAATCCAACAAGCTGTGTAGTTAGCAACTGGCTAAATGGAAATGCCCTTATTTTTTCTGTAATTGTTGGTGTTTTGACTTGGATGGTATGTAAGTTGAATAAAGGTTTGTTTCAACCAAGTATAATTATAACCTTGAAGATGATGACCTAATGCAAACCCAGAAGGCGTCATCAAAACATTGAGAGTTTGCATCTATAGAAAGCTGTGAAATATTTAGAGTATTATATACAATACATAATTCTGAATGCAATTGGGAAGTAAATCATCTGTATGTTTAAAATTGATGCTCTTCATAAGTCATTTTGAAGCTAAATTGTGTCATTCATTTTTTATATCTACAGTTTTTACTGTGCATTTAATTATAAAAGTGTGGCCATTATTTAAACAAAATCCAAATGATAAATGCACATACGAAGACAAGGAAATGGTGACCTGCATTCATGCGATGCCAAACATTCTCTTTTTATTTAAGTGCTGGGTAAAAAAAGATCATAACAGATGAAAAGGAAAATTCTGTCTACAAAGCTTTGTCCCTTCTGTATGAACTGTTCCAACAGAGAATAATTAGTGCAGGGATAAAAGTGTCTAGCAGGGTGTGTGTGATTGCTTTCGTTTTAACCCATGTTGCTTGCTTAATTGCCCCCATTATCCTGTTTATAGCCTCTGTTCCCTAAAGTACAGGATATAATGTTATTGTGGCTAAAAATACTAAAATTAACTAATAGGTAGAAGTAAAAACTGTGTTCACATCCAACAAGAATGAGCTAAATCACTTGTTGAATTTTTTTATCACGTTAACCAATGCAACAATTAAAACACACCTAACGTTAAAATGTCATCATAAACTCTTTCCAAAGATTGCTGAGAACAAACTGTAACGAAATCGTAGCCATCCGATCCTACTTAAACCATGCAGACGGATGTGGCTATAGAAGCAGTAAATGGCTATTGCGGAGGATCGTCAATCATGGTTATGTAATTGCTTTATTTGATTGGATTTGGGTAGGATAGGAAGTTAGCTCAATGTAGTATTTCAAGTGAAAATGCAATAGTTGAAACGAAGAATATTTGCCTTATTAATATTGTTGCTTTAAAAACATTACAGAAGTTTTTAATTTTTAGCTGCCAATGAAGCACTAGGGCAGAAAATAATTGTTCAGGCAACAAAGGGCTGTAAGATCTCTAACTTCTCCGTCGCCTCAAAAGACCAACCGATCTTACCTTTTGCAGTCACGCGCTATACATGCATTTATATGTGGGCGATGGCTTCAGTTCCCGCAGTGCTCTGATTCACTGAGGTATCGCCTCCATGAAGTGTATAGGTTGTATGTACTCAGGTTACAGATAATATCCAGGTGTAGCCTACATGGTAGGAGGAAAGTTATCTAAATAAACTGATTGTGGCAAAAACCGAACCTGGCTAACGGAAAACGTTTGTGATCTCATGCTTCATATGCTGTAACAGGGCGTTTAATGGGTTGGTTCTACATCTTTTGAATTTCCCATGAAACATAAAGGCTGCATCTGTAGCTCTGTAAAAACCTTAACTTTTAAATCAAAATATCTAGTACATGAAGTATCTTCTATTTTTAAAAGAATGCATAATTTTATTTGTAAGATTCAGACTGCTTCAGGGTTGCCGTCTCGCATCCTACGCTTTGAGATTCTCATTCTCGCGCAAGAAATCTTACGGCAATTCTATATTATTCCATTATAAACCTAAAACTTTGTGGTAGTTCGCAAACCCTACGGACTACTTACAATGTAATAAAACACTTACATATATTACTTACAGCCAACTGGCCATATGGCTACCCCGTTGCTTTGATCAGTCGCTTTGTATTTCTCATGAGTAATCTGGAGTGAAACTTAAGAGAAAGGCAGTATGATTTAGAAATTCCTGACATGTACGTGTATTACTTTAACATTAATTTAACATTAATATTTGATAACATATTGATAATATGAATATTAAATTTTAACATGTAATATTCCACGAAGACCGTGCAATCTTTAAAAAATAGCAGTGGCTGTTTTCTTGTAATTGTTTTAGATAAATCCGTGTGAAAGGTTTTGGTAGCCTGTTGCAATCTAAATTTGTCAGGTCAGGACACGTCTGTGACCTTGGCGTGAACTTATACTGATTTGTTAAAACTTTTTGATCCTTTGAGACTTGAAAGCAAAAAGAAATACAGTTAAACGCGCCTGTACCTTTGGTCTATTTCTGTGGGAGGAGCTATCAAGGTAGCTACCTGAACAGACTTTTTTGAGTGGCAGTTTAGGGAGCGGCTGTGAATCTGCCGAGGTTTGCCAGCTTCTCGGGAACTGAAATAATTAAAGAGTGCGAAGCAAGAATGGACGACGTTCAAGTCACAGATGACATCAGTGTCCAGGCCCGTCGGGGCCACATGGATTATGGCCGAGATCCGGTAACGCCGGTAAGGATCATGACTGAGAGCAGCACGGGTAAGACCGATGAAGGCACGGAGGGTAGCGCCGAAAAGGACAGAGGTGACCCTTCTCAGAAGCCCCCTTATTCATACGTGGCTCTTATCGCCATGGCCATTAAAGAAAGTCACGAAAAGAAATTGACGCTGAATGGAATTTATCAGTTTATCATCAGCAAATTCCCCTACTATGAGAAAAACAAGAAAGGCTGGCAAAACAGCATTAGGCATAACCTGAGTCTGAACGAATGTTTCGTAAAAGTTCCTCGGGAAGGCATTGGGGAGAAGAAGGGGAATTTCTGGACTTTAGATCCTGCCTTTGAGGACATGTTCGATAAAGGGAATTACAGACGACGCCGACGGATAAAACGACCATACACGCATCAGTCCGTTCCTTACTTGCCGGGGAAACCATGCTTGAATTATTCTGACGGCTGCTGTTCGCATCAGAATGCAAAGTATTTGCAGAACCCATTCGTAAATAATGCATGGTCCCTTCCTCATTCAAGTCCACTGGAGTCAAGAGCGTCAATCAACTACCAGCAGATGCAAACCGGCGACGGAATTACTAGCCCTGCATCTCTGAGTGGACCCTACAATTCCGCTATGAACTGCTACCACCGCTTCCAGCCCAGCTACGGCGCCTATCATCGACACACAAACATCCTTGTGCCCCACGGCGGCCCTTACACCGGTATGACCCAACCAATTAGTCCCGGAGGTGGCGCACTGTCAGGTGGCCTGTATCACCAACCGGCCTACGGAAAACGACCTGAACTATCTCGCGCAGTCTATTACGACTAGCGCGGGGCATCGGAGTGTCTGGCTGCGCGTGTGCAAATGTAGCCGCAGTACGGGCTTAAAGTAGAAGGGATGCTGGACACATGACTGATAAACACCACGTATTAGGCCTATATTAAGTTAAAACGTGTCATTTCCATTCTTACATAATGAGTTTTCTATTAAAAAAAGCATTTTTGTTTTATTTCCCGGTGCTGTATTTTGATAGAAGGTCTGTTTTGTGTTTATTCTTAACATTTTTGAGACATGCACTCGAGTGTATTACGGGATTAAATGGTTAAATTGGTTAAAATTGAGTTTCTCACTGTTAAATTACCGTAATAAAAAAAAAACCGGTACCAACAGCACCTGTAACGAGTATTTACAAGGCTAAAAGTTTCCTTCTTGCCTTCGTTGCAGCGGAGTTCCAGGTTGGAAGTTGTCGATTGTTCTAAAAATCTTATAGGTTAATTATCAAACCATACGCAGATGCTTATGTTTGCAGTTTTAGCTCATATTCGGAAATCTTGCCTTACATTATTGACAAGTTATCTGTTCAAAATTAGTTTATATTTTTGAGGTAATGATTTAATTTGTGAGTTGGGATGAAAACAGAAAAATGTTACCATGTTCTATTGACAATGGCACTGTTTGTGTTTACTGCTTTTCATTAGGTCGTAGCTCAATAAATCGTATTTTTGCATAAAATTGGCAAAAGTGGAATGTGTTGTGTTTTATTAGGTAATAGAGAGAAAATGGTAGCCTATATTTAACATGTGAATCGCTGATAACTTACAGTTTTAAATATTTTTGAGGTTTTCCGTATTGTTGAGTCGTTAAATTTTTTTCGGCAATGTATTTTACAGTTAAACAACAAAAATTACGTTGTAATTCATTGGTAATACAGATGAATTTACCTCTGGCGCTCATATTAATTGGTATTTGATATTTCCAGGTTCAATATTTTATTTTGCCAGGCGAAGTTATGTTTAAGATAAAAAAAATATAATATTATAAACTACAATAATTTAAACCACAATGACCTTTCTACAGCGTAATTGTCCTGATTATATTATTTTGAAATTTAATATGCTATGGGACTGGTGTTTTACCGCAACAGATTTGAAAACAGTTTATCAGATTACTGAATCCGGCTCAAGGTCAATTTCATCCGACATAACAGATTATAGTATTACTCTGGTTTCCTCACAAAACCCAGTGACACTGTTCACATGAGAGGCTAATTTGCGTCTGTAAATCGTCAGCTGGAATGTAGCTGGATGGATTATTATTTATATTTTTATATTGTATTTATATTTCATTTTTTCTATTTTTGTTTCTCTAATATTGCTTTGTTCAAAACATTTACTTCACTCTTGATACAATTATATAGGCATGTTCTGTTGTTATTCATTTTTACAAAATAGGTATTTTTGGACCCAGAGAAACAGGGTTCCATGCAAAAGCACAACATAGTTCTTGGTAAAAGTGCATCACTTTAAAACTGAAATTCAAATATACTCAGACAGATTTAAATAAAGTGACTGTATTAAAATATAATCTACTCAGATGTATTATATTCCAAACTTACAAATACATGGATGATGGCCAGTAAAACACAGTGGGTGGGATCTTTGCACAGCAAAGCAAAAGGGGGGGGGGGGGAATCAATCATGCAGTCTGTATGATGACCACTAAAAATAATAATAAATAATAAATAATAAATTTATAATAAATAAATTTCACAGGTAGCACTTCAGCTTGAGTATGTACAGTCTATAATTACAGTCCTGGTGTTCATAGTAAAATCATTTGGCAAAAGAAATGTATGTTGACAAACCACAATCCATATCTGCCGGGTTGTGGGGGTCTGGAGGCATGGAATCAACTCAAACTCTGGTCTGCAAAGAGGGTCTGGAGGCATGGAATCAACTCAAACTCTGGTCTGCAAAGAGGTAAGGCTCTATACACACCACAAACAGCTGCATCACCACGTTCCCTGAGCCACACTCCATTTGGAAGAATGACCTTTGGACAGATGAAAAAATCTAACTTTTTCATAAGTCACAGAGGCTCTGTGTTCACAAAAGACGAAATGATGCTTTCAAAGAAAAGAACACCATCTCTACTGTGAAACATGGAGGAATCTTTGAATATATGTAGGGCACAATAAAATCAGAAGATTCAGGAAAAAAACATACACAGACGCTCCTCTACTTACGAACAAGTTACGTTCCAAACGGCCATCCGTAACTTGAAATGTTCGTAAGTTGAAAGTTTGTAAGTAGAGAAGCGTCGGTATATCGTCTCCGGTGTTAGAAAGGTCTGTCTCAGTGACAGGTCATGGGTCCTCCAGCATGGTAATGATCCATGAATCAATCATATATTATACGACATACATATATTGTAAAAGGTGGACGAGTTCCAATACTTTTGGCCACTTATATAGTTGCATCATATTACCTAAACCTCATCTATCAGAAAACTGATTGTCAGATATCTCTTTAAAGCTACACAGGAAAGAGCTAGCACTGTGCTTCAGATGGGGGCTGGCGTTTATGGAGAGAAAGAGCAGGAATCAGAAGAAGTCCATTTTATTTGAGACTGGTAAATCAGTGAATTTCACCCTGCCTTGGGATGTCAGCACTCTCATAATAAAAAAGAAACCCCCAGTAAATTATTTTCAATTGGGAGATAATAATAAAGTTCCTGTCAAATTTAAAAAGACAAACACGTAATGACGCTGTATCTCCACAGGGTTATGCTAGAGAGCTACTGTATGAAATTCCATACCTTGGCATGTTTAACATAGGGGGTCCCAACCCCGGTCCGTGGGCTGGTGTCGCTGGCCAGGAACGTGGAGGGTTAATGGAGGAATTGGTAAATTTAGAAATATAAACTAAGTATTTTCGACTTTTTACAGATCCGCATGTTCGTGCTTTCTCTTGTCATCTGAAAAAACTGAAAACTATTAAACTTATCCCGATGGATTATTATTTATATTTTTATATTGTATTTATATTTCATTTTTTTCTATTTTTGTTTCTCTAATATTGCTTTGTTCAAAACATTTACTTCACACTTGATACAATTATATCATCAAAACCCTTATTTTAACACATTTTAGCTCCATGTTTTAGGGAAGTTTTATTACATGCATTTCATCTGTATTTTCATATGGTTCATGGGTTTTATTGTATACAGGGGTGCTTTAAGGGGGGCAGGGGGCAGTTAGGAGGATTCCAAGGGGCCCTGAGTGGCAGGGGGCCTAAATTTTTTGGAAAATAACTGGAATGGTCTGGGGGCCCCAATGTGATATACCTTTATGGGGCCCAGGAGTATATAACTCATATTTGTTATATGTACTGTACTGCTAATAATGGACTAACCTAAGCCATTTAAAACATAAGGGTTCTATTACTTAGGTAAGGACCTAAAGCACTGACTGTGGATGATGTTCTCTCCCATTTAAATTCTGCATACAGCTGGGGGAAAATTTGACTTGAATTTTAGATTGGGAACTGAACAGTGATTTCATCTTTAGCAATGATTTTGCAGAATCGAGTGAAGATTAAATGAGATTTAGTTATTAGCTATATAGCATGCTTCAAGGATGTGTAGAGGCGCGGGGGGGGGGGGGGGGGGGGGGGGGATGTGGATGGTGCTTGAGCTCTTGCTCTTAAACAGGAGCATCCTGAGTGCCCCTTTTTCATCATGACAGAGGGAGGCTCCTTGTCAGTAAATTTAACCATTTTTTTCTCGCAGGTGAAAGGACTCCTGCTCCTCAGAAAGTACCTGCACACGCTGCTTCACTTTACACCTTAAATCTTTGCACTTTACTCTCATCCTATACAAACTCTTGATGATATAGTAACAGTTGCATATTTCTAAAGGAAATAAATGGAATTTTTTTTTTGAAAGAGTACGATTTATTTAACCATTAACACATAAGGGGAATGGAAATGATCAAAGCACTTATGAGGACAGGAACCACTGGAATGACAGACATAAGAAGAGAGAAAACTGGACATCAGGAAAGTGGCCTTGGTACTGAAAAATATATCATTTATTTACTATGTTATATATAATGATTAGGTTAGCTGGTATGCATCTATAGCTTAAATAGCTGACATTCACTTAGGTAAGTGTGCCTTGAAAGATATATCTTGCTGTATGAGGATTAGACTTAAACTTAGTCTCCATTCCAAAACAAAGTATTTAGAGAGGAATTCAAAAGAGAAAAATAAACACGCAAGTACAATATATAAAGCTAATAATCAGCAAGGTAAGCATGCTTTGTCTATCTTACTGTGGATAAATGAGAATTTTATGCTTTCTGTCTGTTCGAATTTCACTTCTTTGAAAGCTAACTGCATTACTGCAACGTATTTACTGCTTCACATTTCAGGCTCACCTGTTTTCGGAATTAAACTTATCAGCAGTTGCGTGCCCTCTTTTCAATTTCTCTCACGCTCTCCTTGTGCTTCTGAAATCCTGATTTTAGTTTCAGTTTCATTTTGGACTCAGAATCGGCAAAAGTCACTCACTGCATAGGTTATTTACTCACGGGTATTGGCAATAGGGGGATTGTGAGAATGTGAGATTACCCGACAGATCGGATAGTAGCTGAGGTTTTCAGAGCACTGAACAAGCCCATGTTGGTGGTGCAGGAATGTCGTACCAGTCATATCAGGCTTGTGGGTCGGTACTCACCAGTACGCAGTACCAGCATTTCTTTGTTTTTCTCTTCAGAGTACTGGCATGTGGTACTGAATAACAAGGGGAGTACTGGCACCTAGTACTGAATAACAAGGGGGGTACTGGCACCTAGTACTGGATAACAAGGGGAGTACCGGCACCTAGTACTGAATAACAAGGGGAGTACCGGCACCTGGAAGTGAATAACAAGGGGAGTACTGGCATCTAGTACTGAATCACAGGGGGAGTACCGGCACCTGGAAGTGAATAACAAATTTAAATTTAACCATTTTTTTCTCGCAGGTGAAAGGACTCCTGCTCCTCAGAAAGTATCTGAGTATCTGAACGAGAGGGAGAAGCAAGCTGTGACAGCCGCCCCCAGACGAGTGTAGTCTAGGTACGCAGGACAGGCAGGAGGGGACAGAGAGGGATCTAACACCAGGCAGAGGTCAGACAAAAACACAGGACTGGACAAGACAGAACAGGACCAAACACAGAGACCCACACAGGAACAGGAGCACTACATCACTAGCTGCGGGCAGATCGGCAGCCGGCTGCACGGTGGTCTCATCAGGGAGAGATGCATTCTCTCCCCAAACCTTTCACAGAACCTCCCTGATTGCCATGACCTGCTCAGCCTCAGACTCCAGGAAGAGGACTTCTATCCTCTTCCACAACTCACGGGGAGCTGTAGTGAATCACACGAGAGCTGAAATAAGAGACAAGACAAATAATTAACAGGTGTGGCTTAGGGAGAGAGAATGGGAGGTACAGTACAGAAGCAGGGCGTGACAACAACATATTACCACTATAAATCATTTTAATGTATTAGTAAATAGGGAAGTTTTTAATAGCTGTTCTATTCATGTAAATTATATCTTAAATATATATATATATATATTAAATGTGCTCTTCTGCCTTGTGTCTGAATTGTGCTGTATAAATAAACTTGCCTTGCCTTGCCCTGAAATAAAAATTGCTAAATCACAAATTGTAAGCTCTACATCCTC